CTCGGGGGTCTCTGCATGCAGGATGAGGGTCCCTAGGTGGGAAGCATGGGCACCACTAGACCTTTTCCCCCCTCCCTGGGAGCACCTTTGCTGGAGGAGCAGCTCATTTACCTTTGGCCTCGTGGCCGGAGGCGGCTGCTTGTTTGCGAGCGAGGAGCTCGCTGGGCACTCGGCATCCTGGCTGAAAGGCCCGTACTCAGCATTTCTGGCCACTGGATGGGAAAATAAAGGTCTCCTTCTCTCCTCTGCTGAGAAACCTTTAATAAGCGGCAGAGGGACCTGGCTGCAGCCTCTCGCACTGCTAAGCCGAGGGCAGCCCAGGGCAGCGGCCGAGATTTGAGAGGTCATTGGGTGCATGCTGGTTTTAATTTGGGTGGCTTTGGGGCGGATTTAGGAGGCTCACCCTCACCGCTGTCCCAGGGACCTGGTCACACACATGGAAACAAAACCCAGCAGTGACTTTGACTCCTTTCATAACCCAGTTCCCCGCATTTCACCACAGGCACAAAGGGCACAGTGTCTCCCCTGGCATGGGGAGGGGGCTGGGGAGGGTCCCCTGGGGCTGGTCGCTCGGGCAGCGTCACCCCTAAGCACCCCACACATGCTTCCCTTCCTGCTCCAAACTGCTATCAAGGCCATTGCAGCGGTTTTCTGTAGCGCTTTATATGGGGAGGCATCTGCACAGCTCATGCTCCAGCTTTGTCTCCCTCTGTTTACCAGGGCTCATGGAGACATCACACCTTCACCAACATCCATCCAGTACAGAAATTACTGCAGCTGGAAAAGGCCCAGTGCTGGCAGCACATCCATCCCACTGCTTTGCCCCCCAGCAGCAAGTAAATTGCTTTTCTTTAACTATGTGAGCTCAGAGCAAGAGGGAGGGGGACATGGGGGGGACAGGCTGTCCCACGGGAGCCCTTGCAGTCATGTACCAGGAGAGCAGGGCTGGACAGCCCTTCCTGGGGCTGCCATGACCCCCAGCACTTTGCTCCAGGGATGGGATAGAAAGGAAAAAGCAATGGGAAAAAAAAAAAGAAGGGGAAAAAAAGGGGGGGAAATGACAAAATGCCCTACTCAGTATTTTGCTGCAGGAGGCAGGGTGGGAAGGCAGGCTGGTGGGGGGACAGACCTGTTTGGAGGAACACCCCATGCTAGGCAGGATTTTGGGCTTGACAAGCCCCACTTTACCCCTGTCAGGGAGATCAGAGCCCATGGCTCCTGTCTGGGATGGAGGAGGTGACGGCTCCTTTCGGGGTGACTCCCGTCAGCTGCAGGGCTCACCCTTAGCCCATGGGAGAGCACTGTTCAAATATTGGGGCTCCCCTAGGGCCAGGCATGTTAGCCCCATCAAATACACTTTGCCAGGTGAGCTGTGAGCTCCTGTCTCTGAAATTAGGAGAGCTCAAAATTTCTTTTTTTTAAATACCCCTTTTTCTCCTGATTGAGCCTCTGACATGGGCCTATGGCTCCAGGACATGGAGTCTTAATTAAAAAAAAAAAATATCAGTCATCGTGGGGACCTGTGATGGGACAGTGCAGAGGCAGGGGGGAGCCTGAGCCCGTTGCTTTTCCAGAGGCACCGATCCTGTCTCACCCTGAGGACTCTCTGCTCCGGCTGCTGTCCGTTATCCGGTCTCCGCACGCCCTCAGCTGGTCACAGAAAATGCTAGCAAAGGGAAGAAAAATATTTCATATCATTTTGCCATTGCAGCTCACAGCACCCATGGCTGCACAGATATTGGCTGGACCCACGGGGCACAGGAACCGGGCCCGCTCCCTGGGCAGGGGATGCTGGTACCCTGGGGATGCCCTAAAAGCATCACTGGCATTTCTCCCTGGGCAGGGGATGCTCATACCCGGGGGATGCTGGTACCCAGGGGATGCCGGTACCCAGGGGATGCTCATACCCGGGGGATGCTGGTACCCGGGGGATGCCCTAAAATCATCACTGGCATTTCTCCCTGGGCAGAGCTCTGCTCCTGGGGCAGGAGTCACAAGCTCGGTGTGCCCCTGGGACTCACAGAGCGATGCCAAACACCTAAATACATGTGCAGTGAGTCCAAGGGGGTGAAAACCCTGGAAATAAACCATCCAGGCTACAGCTTGGAGCACAGTCAAGTGCCGAGTGGCTGTGCTGAAGACAAACTTACTCCATTGAACTTCGAGCATGTGGTTGCTTCACCAGCAAAATTCAGCAGCATGAGCCACAGCACATCGCTGCAGCCGTAGGATTTGCACTTGGTATGTGCTTGATGTTGGTAACAGGTTTCTTCTTCGAGCAGATGTAGAGTTTCCCGGTTGAATGGACAGGGACACCAAGGCTGATCTTTGCTCCTGCTGCTCATGGGCTGCCCCAGGGCAGCAGGGGAGAGAGAAAAGGGAGTGAAAAGTGACCCAGGTCCCAGCACAAGACAGACACGGACCTGTTAGAGCAGGTTCAGAGGAGGCCGTGAAAATGATCAGAGGGCTGGAACACCTTTGCTGTGAGGAGAGGCTCCAGTTGGGGCTGTTCAGCCTGGAGAATAGAAGGCTCCAGGGAGACTTTACTGTGGTCTTTCAATGTATAAAGGGGCATATAAGAAAAGTGGGGAGGGACTTTTTACCAAGACCTGTAGTGACAGGACAAGGGGCAATGGTTTTGAACTGAAAGCGGGTAGATTTAGATTGGACGTAAGGAAGAAATCTTTTATGATGAGGGTGGTGGGACACTGGAACAGGTTACCCCCAAGAAGTTGTGGCTGCCCCATCTCTGGCAGTGTTCAAGGCCAGGCTGGATGGGGCTTTGAGCAACCTGGTCTTGTGGAAAGTGTCCCTGCCCACAGTAGGGGGTTTGGAACTAGGTGATCTTTAAGGTCCCTTCCAACCCAAACCATGCTATGAATCACATCCAGTGTTTCATTAATGATGTCATTAACACTGTGTGCAGCAGGACATAAGCACCTCACTATTTAAAGTCAGCATTCCTTGCCTGTGCATCCTCTCTTGGGGGAAGAGCTTTGGGTTGGAGAAGTGCCTGGTTTCAAGTGCCTGGCACCTCTGCGATACCACAATCCCTGATGCAGAAGCTCCAAGAAGACACACAGAGTTGCTGCTACACCCCCAGCCACCGGAGGGTGGTCAGACCTCAAGCAAGTACGCAGAGTCCAAAAATAAACCTTCCCCTCGGGTACCCTGGCTTTTACTGTGTGCCCATCTGCATCTTCCACGCAGCTGGTACCAAATGATCCCCGTGCCCAGAGCAGCCCTGTCCCCCAGTACCCTCCCACCTCTTCCTGCAATATAGGGCTCCTTAAGCCTTTCGGGGGGGACACACATGACTTACCTGCCTTCAGCCCAGCCCCTGACAGCCCGTGGTCCAAAACCCTCTAAGGGCAGGACTTTGGACCCCCAGCTCTGATCACTGACGTTATTTTTTGCAGAGCACTAGATCTCAAAAGAGGATTTCTGCCCAAGAGGGGATAGCACAAGCCCAAACGGATGCAGGGTGAGGAGATGTGGGATTTTTAGCAGCAGCAGGTCCATCCAGGTTTCACAGACCACATTAAATGTCACCAGGCATCAAACCCCAGAAAAACAACCCCATGGCCAACGTAGTGTGCAGCAGAGGGGGTTTTGCTAATAATGAGTTTCACAGGCACAGAGGGGAGATGAAACCAAGCAGCAGACTAGCTGGCAAAAAGGTTTTTTTTGAGCTTGACAGGATTAAGTTACCACAGAGTTAATGAAATGTCTCAGAGGTGGAAGAACAGGACTCCAGGAGGGCACATTGGTTGGTGGCTTACTGGATGAGGACAGTGCTTAACCCAGGCTCTCTCTCCTCCCAAAAAAGTATCCACTTTTAAAAATACAGCAGAAGACTCAGACCAGATATGAAACTTTTACTGATTGTAGATCCAGGTGGACAAAATTTGAAATACAGGTTGAGATAGAGGACTGCAGGAAGGTTACTGTCATTGAGCACAGAGGGACACTGGGCATTTCCAGGGCACGCAGGGGATGCCACGGCTTCAAAGCGGCTCTCCTACATCAACACATGCTGCAGATTAGCTGCTTTCTAGAAGGGCAAGTCTATAAGCGCCTGTGCCTCCCGGAACCTGATGAAAAACCAAGGATAAAAACCCACAAATAATTAAAAGAACAACCCAGGAGGGGCTGAAGCCCCAGATCCAGGCTTGGACTCAGAACCTGAGAACAAGAGCACAGCATGAACTCAGGGCTGTGTCTCAGATGTGCTCTAACTCGTGCTGTGCTTGTGCATGGGTTTACATAAGCTGGTGACCCCAGCCAGGCACCCAAAATTCGCATCTCCTCCATGGCCAGCTCCCTCTCCTGGTGATTCATTGCCTTTGTGCAGAAACCACAGGGACAGGCTTTGCTCCACGTTTTAATGCACAAAACTTGCACAGAGATGATCCCAGAACTGCAGGAAAGTCTGGATGAGCCACTGGTGAGACAGGGGACGGACAGTCAGGGCTCTGGGGTGACAGCCACCTCCTCCGCCCCGGGAATAGCTCTTTTGCCCTTTGGTGACTTGCTCAGGTGGTTAGGACGCAGCTCCTGCAGGGAAAAGGGGACAGACATGGGGACACTCAGCTCTAACCCTACTGTCAGCTTCTTTGAGACCTTCTGGGGTGGCTTTTTGACCTAGCCTCACGTGCCCTGGCACCTCCTTGGCTCACACACACTCCTGCACAGGAGAGCTTTAAGAATTCCGTGCCCATTCCCTTGGGAAAGCCACCTCTTCTCCCCCAGCCCCAGCAGCTGAGAAATCCCCGCTCCTGCCGCCAGGTACCCAGGAGGCCTCCATGCCCACAGCGAAGCAGTAACCGCCCCCCATCCCCATCGGGGCACTAGGAATATTTATAAGGCACCCAGAGGTCTTCTCTTGACAGCTGCACAGCATCCAGGACTCAAACAAGGTCACCAAAAATGCTGGAGACACCCAAGACGTGGATCAGCAGAAAGCAAAGCAGGAAGGTAAAGGTGGAGGTGAGAGTAACTCAGATGTCGTAGAAATCCACGTGGGCGCCGGAGGGGAAGGTGTCCTTCTCCAGGAGATTCACCAGTTTCTGGGCTGACATGGTGCAATCTATCAGCTGGCCACTCTCCTGCAGGCTTTGGAAATACTGACGCATCTCAGGGTCTCCAGTCTTAGTCCGGGCCAAGAGCTGCATGTCCGTGTCCAGAGGACCTGGGGAAAGAGCAACAAAAAAGAAATCACGTAAGGAGAAAGCAAAATCTGCGGCTCATTTTCCCCTCTGTACCTGGCTCAGCTGCAAGAATCTTTTATCCACAAAGCCAGGAGAAAGTTAATAGCAATTAATGAGCTCCCCTCCTCACCCGGGGCGTAGTTGAGCACACGGACATCAGGCTCCTCGAGCGCCAGCACCTGGAACATCATATCCCGGGAAGCCTTCCCGCTGCAATACAGCGCCCAGTTCTTGAAGGGCTTCACGGCACAGAGCGAGGAGATGTTCACCACCGTCCTGCTGGAGCCGGGCCGCTTCCCAAAGGCTTGCAGGGCGGTGGAGGTGAGGCAAAGCGCCGAGGTGACGTTGAAGGCAAAGTAGCTGTTGATCTCGTCCGGGTCGGTGAGATCGAGGAAGGATTTGGAGATGTCTCCCAGGGAGCCTAGGAAGGAAGGCCAAGTGAGTTAAGAGTAGTTAAAGATGGGTCCAACAACACAGCAGATCCCTTTTGCTCCTCCATTTCCACATGCAATCCTCTTATTACGGACAAAAGTGAGCAGTTTTGCTGGCCCACACTCTAGCGGGGTCTCACAGCAGGGCAAGGAGCTCAGCACAGCCTGGCTCTGCCCATCGCTTTCGGGTCATCTGCTGAACCAGCAGCGGTGACACGGGACACGGAGCTGCCCTGCCAATCCTCTGCCAAAACCAACAGCTCCCAACCTCCAGCCTGAAGTACAACGGGCCACCACGGGCCACCACGCGCTCTCCCGCACGTCCCTCTTTCGGAGCCAAGTCAGTAAAAGACCTAATTCCTGTCTACTGGAATGCTTGGTCTTATTTATAGTGAGAATGGGTGAAAAAAGGCGCTAAAGCCAACAGGCGTTCAAGATTGCAAGCGAAGCACCCACAAGGCAGGGCTAAAAGTTTTCCTGAAGGTTTGTACTCGGGGAGCAGTGCGGTGGGAGGGTGCAGGAGGGTGACCAGCCGGTCCTACGCCACGAGTAACGGGTGAAACCTCCCGAGCAGCAAAGCCCCGCGGCCCCTGGTCTGCTCCCCAAATTCATTACTTTAATGAAATAGTAAGATCCGGAGAGGGTGAAAGCCCTGCTGCTCCCTCGGTAATTTACTCGGTTGGGTTATTTACTGGCACCCAAAGCACCGATCGAAGCCTCGGCTCGATCCCTCGGTGGAACCAGGGGAGGGCTCGCCGGGGCTGAGCCCCGCTGCCCCGGGGAGGCGGAGGGGGGGGGAGCCCCGTTGTTACCGGCGTTGTTGACGAGAAGCAGGCGGCCGGGCGGGACGACGGCCAGCACCTCCCGCAGAGCAGCCGTCGCCCTCCGCAGCCCCTCTTGGCAGCCCAGGTCGGCGGCCACGTACTCCACCCGCAGCCCGGTACCGCCGGTACCGCCGCCCCGCAGCTCGGCCGCCAGCTCGGCCAACGGCGCCGCCGAACGCGCCAGCAGCAGCAACACCGAGCCCGAGCCCAGCCGCCGAGCCAGCAGCCTCGCCAGGCTGCGCCCGAAGCCCCGGGAAGCGCCGGTCAGGACGCAGACGGCCGCGTCCCAGCGCCCGGGCCCCGGCTCCATCCCGGTACCGAGCGGAGAAGGAGGGGGGGCGTGGCAACGGGCCTCACCACGTGACCAGGCCCCATTCATTTCCTCCCCCTCGCCGCCGTTTTCTGAATGGCCGCTCCGAACGCGCCGGCACCGCCGCCAGCTCCGATTGGTCAACCCGCTGCGGGGGGTGTGGTCAGAGCGGCGCCACCCCCGTCCCGCGGTGCCGGTGGGGGGAAACCCTGCGGCCCGGCCAAAGCGCGCCTGCGCTTGGGGTTTTCCCCTATATATATATATTTTTTTTTTCCCAATGCATTTTTCAATATATTTTTTTAATACTTTTTTTATGCCCCTTTTTTTCCCAGCGCGGATGTCAACCCCCCCACATCCCCCTTCTTGCACCTCCCCAGCCACCGCTGCAGCTTTCCTCTCGGACCGCATGCTGACAAAGCCTTCGCACACCTTTTTTCCTCTTCCATCGCGATTTTTGGGACTCGGCAGCGGTCGTTGGTTAGGTAGGGAGAGCGCTGTCTGATCCCAAAGAGTCCTTAAAAGCCTTTTTAAAAAATAAGCATCTTTGCGCATGAAGATGTGGGCAACTTTCAAAGAGGGTTTTTCGCAAGGGGTACCTGGTTTGTGTGGAATTGGCAGCCGGGCTTGGGTTTCCCAGCTGTTAAATCCTGAGGACAGATGGCCCTCGCGGTGCATGAGCAGGTGACGAAGCGGAGTTTCGCTCTATTAAGCAGCGGCAGACCGGGCTGAAACCCTCCAGCGTTCTAATAAAGCATTAAAAATTCATGGTATGGCAAAAACCCAAGAGTGATATTTGTTTTGCTAAAGCAAATCTTACACATTCAGTAAAATTAAGATCATCAGCAAAAAAATAAGACAGCAAATATGTATTTTTTTCACAAGTAGCTTCTTGATGGCAGAACTTGCTTTAGTGACTGCCAGTTCCCCCCTTCCCATTTTGGCAGCTCCAGTCTCCTGCATCCATCACGCTTCTTGCCCGGGTTCCCAGCCTGGCACTGCACCCTGTCCCGCAGAGCTGTGCTCCAGGCAGAACTGGGCCAGCTGGGAATGGCCATCATTTTGCCGGACTTTCCTTCCAGCGGACCATTTCTTCCATCTGACCTGTTACCAGGCTACACCAAAGGGTGTAAAAGTAGGAGGGAGGGTCTGGGAAGCAGGTTTTTTTTAGCTGATAGAAGTTGCTTGTGCTAATCTTGACTAAAAACAAAAAATTAGAGGGAGGGAACTGGTGACCAAACCAGCCCAGAGCTGGAACTGGAGGGCAGAGATGCAGAGAAATTATAAATCCCTAAGATACCTCGTGATGTCTGATTCTCCCCTTTGTGCTCCTCGGTAAACAAACAAGCTTGTGCCAAGGACACACCTCACACTGTGCAAATTTAGGCAAATTGAGGATGATGTGATGTATCTTTTTTGCTCCTTGTCATTGCAGCCTCAGCAAAATGATTTCCTGTGCTTATGGTTCTGCTTTTGCACAGCTGACCTGTGAAACCACGTAACCTCCCGATGCGTTAGAGCCCCGACAGTTCCAGCCGCCTGTAGAAAAAGAACAAAAACTCATTACTTTTTTTCTCACTCCTCGGGGAATTCCTGCTGCTGGGTTTGCTGTTCTGGCTGAGACACATCATTTACCCAGGCCAGACACTGGGTTTTGCTGGCGTGGGTGTCTGCCTCCACCTTGGGCGGGTGGACTTGTTATCTGTGGCTTCTTCCTCTGCTTCATCAGTGCCAATAACATCACTTCTTTAGCTGCTGCACCCACATATTTTCCTCGCTTTGCAGCAAAATCCCATCCCTATCACTGATGGGGAGCTTGCATCTTGCTGTAAATCTCATAATTTTGTACGGCTGGGTCCAGCTGCTGTGGGGGCAGATGTGTGGGGGGAGAGGGAGCAGAAGGACATCGGCGTTCTCCATGCCGGGAGAGCGAACCCACCTGATGGGTGTTACAAAAATGCACAACTGGCCCGAGCTGACTAAGGAGAGAGCCTGGGACACAAACTACAAGAGTAAATATTTACGCACACTAGGTCATGAGGTGTCCCAGCCAAATCAGAGCACCCCGATGTAGTTTTACACGGGGTTCTTAGACCCTTCAAACATTCAGGTACAACACAATTTGACTAATCACTAACACCCCCCCCCTTATCAATCATAGTAAAACTTTGCAAAGCAACTCTGTTTTTGCAGCATTCTTGCTGCTTGCCTATTGATCCAGATGTCTCTGGAGTCAGTCTTGCTGGAGTTACTGACCTGTGATGCCAGGCGATGCCGGGAGGGTTTCAGAGATGTCAGCGGGGCTGGGATGCTGGCGTTGTCCCAGGGTGTCCTTTAGCCTTCATGGAGAGCTCTAAGCTTCCAAGAAGCAAAGTCCTTATTTCCAGGGCCGGGCTGTCCTTTAGTTTGTTTTGCGTAAGCATGAACAATACCAAAGTCTCCAGTAAAATTCCACTTCCTGATTACACTACAGTGTGTAATGTGAACTAAAATAGATATTAACAAAGTTAATACACTTTTATACCGTAAAGACTGGTTGATATAATAGGGAAAGACATTTTCATAACCCATGAGACCTATGAAATATCCCCCTCAGATCAGCTCTCTTTTCATTCCCTGGGTTGCTTTTTAAGTCAGTCATTTTGAGGATTTGCTGAATGTCACTTTATGCTGCAAAGGGCACCTCCTAACCTCAGGTGGGCGGCTTGCGGGGTGCTGTGGTGGAAACAAGAGAAGAAGAAAACACGAAGAGGAACAAAACATGAAGAAGAAGAAAACACGAAGAGAACAAAACATGAAGAAGAAGAAAACAAGGAGATTCTGACCTGTCAGCAAAATCTGATTTATGACTAAAATTGCTAAGACTGTATCCAAGACGTATTCCTCTGTCACCTGATGGGCACGGTGCCTGGTGGAGACCCTCTGTAAGCAGCTTAGTGACAGGCAGCGTGATGTTAGGAGCTCTGCCTGCTGTTCTAGAGGTTAAACTTAATTCCCTGGTGTTTCTGTGTTCTTATACCAGCTGCTCTCTGGCTCTTGTGACAGCAGCTTGCTTTTTCCACTGGATTTTGACTTGACACGGTAGTGGCTATTTCACTTCTCTTGGAGAACACTCAGTCCTAAGCATCGCTCAGCAATTTCACGGCCTGCTGCAGTTTCATGTTTTATGCCTTCAGAGACAAGAAGGTACCAGCGCTCTTCTTATCCATCCTCCAAGCGCCCTGGAAGTGCTGCTGCCAGAGCACCTCTGGGAGAAATGTGGTTGGTTTGCAGTAAGGGTAGGGAACTTAGCATTAGGAGATCTGGACTAAGGGCCAAATCCAGTAAAGGATGTAGATACTGCCCTGGCATTTTTCTTCTTTTTCTTCTTCTTTTTCTTCTTCTTGGCTGTGTTTTTATATTTGTGGTTTTTTGCAGCTTACTAGTTCCTCTCCTCATTCACCATCCAAAACCAGCTGTAGGACTGCAGGGATAGTTCACAAAAAGAAAGTTTCCCCATGGAAGAAGGACACCAGAAATGGCAGCTGCAAAAATTAAATTAATATTGGAAAAGGGCATGGAGCAGAATACTATTTTAGTGTGATCACTGGGAACCAGTGCATTTCAGTTGGACTGCTCTGGAGCTCTCTCAAGAGATTACATTTTAAAACATAAATGGTTGATGTTGGCTGGGGATTTGAATAGTACATCAAGAAATACAATATAAAAGCATCTAATGCATGGAATAAGGAAGAGTGGGAAGGTCTGTACATTGTAGAAAGCTGATCACTGGGTTTTCAGAAGTGATGTAAGGTGGGCTGGGAAGGTGGTAGAGCTGGCAAAGCCCTTGAAGATGACCTGTTTTACAGATGTGACTATACTACAGGGACACCTTCCCTAGTTAGTGAGAGGCTGTGCCTGAGCACTGTCAGGTGAACGTGGGGGAAGCCACATGCGACTGGTGGAGCTGGTCCAGGGAGGATTTTCGCCTGAGGAATATTAGCATCACCTCATCCCCAGGTGAGCATGTAGGTGTTGGAGGACGAGCAGGCTGACACGGACCCTCCTGGGGCAGCGGGAGCTGCTCTGCTGGGGTCTGAGCCTGCATGCCAGGACCACGCTCTGGCAGCAGGAGGGTTTGAACTCTTTCCAGGACGTTGGTCAAGAAGATGAACAGAGATGTACCAGAACCAGCGAGAGCAACGGTCATTTTCTTAAAAGATGGACGATTCTCCACTTCCCTCCCACCCTGGGCACAGTGGGGACACTGGGCCCTCAGCAGCATCCTAGTCCCAAAGAGATTTGCTCCTGCTGCACAGCTCTGTTGTGGATGTGGACAGACCCTGTGGCACTCTCCTGTGCCGGGACAACACCGCGCAGGCACCTCTTCGCCTTCACAAAGCAAGCAGCAGATGAAGCTGGATCCAGAAGAGCGAGCATCACGAAATCACGCACACCACGAAACTCCCGGCTCTTCATCCATCAGCGTTAGGGCTTCCCTTGCAGCTCAGGCTGTAGTGGAGAGAACCAGCACTAGGTGTCAGCGGCATTTAAAATCTGGAGGGAGCTGCAGGCAACCCCTGAGCCCGGGAACCCCGGGAGGACAGCGAGGGGGCTGGGGGGGCTTCGCTCCTGGGCAGCGCAGTGCAGGGAGAGTCACTGACGCAAGCCAGCAGAGAAGTGGCAGGGGAGTAAAATTTCTCTTGGCAGTGCTGATTTTAAATACCTACTGGTAAATTATCGGAATTGCCCATATTATCCATCATTTGAGATTGTACCTATTGGATTTATCTGGAGAAGGCACCGGAGCCGCTTTGTTGTTCTGGCATGGATCCTGTTGGCACTGGGCTATTGTGGGGGTGTGTCTGCAATGCTCTCAGCAGCTTCTGATGGGTATAACAAGGCTCCCACAAATCCAGGGGAAGGCAGGAGGGCTTCCAGGGGGAAAAACCCACTGTGCAAGCTGCAGGGGCGGTGGGAACGCCGTGGAGCTGGTACTCCCGAGCAGCAGCTGCCGTACCACT